GGCCCGCGGAGCCAGCAGCGCCCCGAGCGGGGGGGGGCAAGCCCATTGGCCTCGGGGACTGAAAAAAACTGACTAAAACCCCCGCAGGCAGTGGAGATGGTTTTGTGCATCCTGTCCTCGCCGCACGTCTCAGCTCAGCCCGTCGCCCTAAAGCCAAACCGGGTCTCCTGGAGCGTGTCCTGCACCTGCGCGCTCAGGTGTCCGGCTGCGGGTGGCAGCAGGCGCCAGGGGCGGCCCAGACGAAAGGCTCCTGTGAACGACGTGGCGGGAGACGGGCACTGCCTGCGTAGGAAGGCTGCTGCTTCTCGGGTGCGGTTAGGTTTCAGTGGAAGCGGGTGCGAGTGCCCCCCTCCCGGGTCCGCCGCCCCACGGGGGCAAATCCAGCCGCTCTGTCTGAGGCGGGCAGCGTGGCAGTTGTTGGGACGAGCACCCCCGCCACTGTTTTGAAGCACGCCAATACACGAGACGCTCTGGGCGCTTGAATTACAGCAGCTCCAAGAGTGGCCGAAGCTGACACGACATGACATGTTTTAATTAGAGCTGCTTTAATTAAAGCGCTCCCCCCACACTCCCAGAGCACGTGTATCAGCGGCCTTGGCGCTCGTCTGTGTTGGGCTTTAAACACCTGTCGCATCCGAGCGGTTGATCAAACGGCTGCACCAGACGGGTCACTTTTTCCTTCGGCGCGGACTGGTTTCCTTAGCAGTGATTTGAATGAGTGCAACAAGTGTGTAGCTAGCCTGGAGGCTAAGCTCCTAGGCCCTCGCTAAGGAAGGTAATAATGAAGGTGAGGCGGTGTAAAAAGAAAACCCCTGCCGCTGCAATAGGGAGTGACAGCTGGAGAGGAGAAAGGGGACAAACCATAGCTGATGGGCAGGGGCCGGCTGAGGAAATTAAAAACTCCCATCGGATCTGAACCCACCTCAAGGTCTGAGGATGCATCAGGAGGTTTAGAGGCGTCTCAGGTCTGTGCATGCAGCCGAACCGTGGTTCATTTGTATCTGGGGGGCTCGCAACCCACCCTACTTTGTTTACACTGGGTTGCTGAATTAAGAATGAGCTGCCCAGCTGTTGACTGCAGCTTTTACTTCAAATCAAAGGGCACCATTGGTCTGATTGGCTGGATTGCTGCTTTGCTGTGGTTATATCTACCCCTGGATCCTTCACAAGCCCTCATGTTTGCAGAGGGGTTAAGAACAAAATTATATGAAGTCCCAGGTACTTCCATCTTCCTCTCTCATGCCACTTGCTCTCTCAACAGGAGCTTTCAGCAGTTGCTGAAAGCAAGTTTGCTTTCAGCAACTGAACTTGCAGCAACTGCAAGCAAGCAAACTTGCAACACTGTTGCAGCAGTGTTGCAAGCAAGTTTGCTTGCAACACTTGCAGCAGTGTTGCAAGCAAACTTGCAACACTGCTGCAAGTTTGCTCCTGCCACACCAGGTGTGGGTAGTATTAAGTTGGTAATAAGCAACTTTTATCCACAAAATAAATTTGAGCCATTTTTTATCACCTACTAAACCACTTGCTGTAGATCGCCGCTGTTTGGGATACAGCAGTGCATGCTGTCTGAGCTCCAGTGGTGTACGTGAGCTTGGCTACCTTGCCCTTGGTAGGGCTTCAGTTTGCTCAGGGATTTTTCTAGATTCCTGGTCTGGTGAAGAGGCAGTGGTACCTTCTGCTTGCGATATTGCTCACTAAGCTAGATGGATCTGTGATCTTTTTCTTGCATGAGAAATTTAAATAGTTGAGAGTATGTGTGCCTTATTTACTTGATTCCAGGATGAGGTCTTTTTTCTGTTTGACATGGGAGGAAAAGCCCCTTTTCTTGGAAACAAGAATGAGTTTGTGAAGGTTTGAGTACGAGGCTGCGCTGGCTCTGGTTCCACCCTGGGGACAGGGCCAGAGCTGCAACTGCTGCTGGCCCTCCTACCACCTCTGTCTCTGCCCTTCTCGTCCCAAAACAGCATCTGCCCATAGTCCTGTCCCCTACTGCTGCCCCCCCCCCCCCCCCCAAGTGACCCAGCTTTTTTCTCTGCAGCTGTGGGTGGGGGTGTGTGAATTTAAGATGACCCCCCAATAATTGAATTATGTACATGGAAAGTCACAACAAATTTATACATTTCCCATGTATAGTATTCAGTTATTGGGAGAATCATCTTAAACTCAGGGCTGTCTTGGATTCAAGTAAATACTGTACATTGTCATCACTGGGCAACAGAAGTAACACTTCAGAGATGAAGGGGACAGTTTCCCTGTCTCCGCTCTTGTTCCAGGTTCCCTACCAGCTTATCTTTGTGTTCGTTATAGTGCCTTTACCTTGACTTCATTGAAGATGCCTTGCAAGAGCCTGGTTTCAGAGAATTACTTGTGTGATGTATAGTAGCATTTCTGAGCCTTGATGGCATTATATAAATAATTGCCTGGAAAAATAGTTCTTCTCATGTAGGAGAACGTTTCCCTTACGTGTGCGATGCACAAGATAGTCTCTGCAAGACTAGGCTTTCATTAAGAACTGAGCTTGTATTCCACATGATTGCAGAGGTAAACTTCCAAAATTGAAAACCGAGTGTAACAATGTAGGCCGCAGTCTTGATTGTGGCTACTCAAGCGCAGTACCCGGCAGTGGACACCTGCAAGGGGCATGGTTTTGAGAATTAACTAAGCACCCACCCCCCTAAAACCCAATCAGAATCCTTAATTAATCATTTCATTTTTGTGCATTTCTAATTTTTTTTTCCAGCTGAAAGTTATTGCTGTCAATGAGCAGCTTAGAGTCACTTATGAGGAAAATGTTCATTTTGATAACGACCTTCCAGAATTCAGGTATGTTTTTTAATATTGTTCAGCTAAGCTAACATGATTGTTGATAGGGTGTATTTGGGAAGGGCTGTCCCATAAATCTGCTGCATGTGGGGACTGAAGAAAACATGTCCCTGCTGCATCTGTGTGTGTGGTCCCTGGCGACATGGCAAAGATGACATCAACTTTTGCAATATTTGGTGTTTTTTGTAGCTTCAGCTTCTGGAAACCTCTGATTTATGTGGGAACCTAGCTTCCCTGTGAAAAAGAGAGGGGGTTTAAAGCCCTCCTGGTTGTGGCAAAGGCTTTCATGTTTGAAAATGTGAAGCAAATGCATGCTCCAGGGGCAGAAACCAAAAAGCAATTTGAAGGAACTCTCAACATTATTATTTGTGTATTTTACATCATGATTTTTAAGTCAGTTTTTTGGTTCCTGACTTGTTTTTTTTTTAAACTTGGGGCTGCTGATTGCCTCTGTGTCAGGAGTGGATTGCTATATCAACACTAAATAAGTTCAGTGGAAGAAACTGGGATATGCTCTGGCAAGTCAGTTAGCCAAAAATCTTTATGCTGGTGTGTGGTTGCATAAAGGCAGGGCCATGTTCTTTTTCCCAATATCTCACAGGTTCCCTGCTTCAATTCAAACCTATTTACTAGATATTGGCAGTAAGCTGAGACAATTAGGCATGATTTCAGGAGGGTTATGATTAACCAGGGAAGCTTAAATGTTGTATCCAGAATTCAGTAGTGTTCCCTGTCCTTTATTAAAAGCTGGATTTAGATGTCTTGCCTTGTACACGCTCTAGTCTTAATATATTTGAGTAAAATTGATTTGATAACCACAAACATAGCTGCAGGCATGCATGCATTACTATGTAGGTACCCAGCTTTTCACATTCAGGTTGGATATTTGGCTTCAAGGATTTAACTCCTAGCCGGTATACCATCATGAACATAAAAGATGGAGACTTTCCTGTTGTAGAGGGTCTATGCAAGAGGACCCTCCTGGTTGCATAAAATCTCATTGACTTTCAAGAGCTCTTTGCTAACACGGGAATCTTCCCATTGTAGAATCAGACAAGGTTCTTTGGGTAAATCTGATATTTTTTTTTTATTAGACCAACTCAAATAGTTGGAAAAATTCTTCTTAGCAAGCTTTCAGGCACCAACACCCTTTGGTAGGCTGAGGAAGCATCTGCAGATGGTCTGTGCTCTTCCTGGATGGAGTAGTAAAGCAGCCAGAGGCCAGTACCTATGCAAGAAAGCCGGTCAGTTAAAATGTAAATTGAGGTGATCAGTAAGGTGTGGGGGGATGAAAGTGGCTGTAGTCAAAGGATGAGAGACAGGAGGGTGGGGTGGAAGGGAATGAGAATAGCTGGTAAAAAGTGGAGGGTGTACCTGGGGAGTCAGATGTTAGGCAGGTTATAATGTGTCATAAATTCAATGTCTATATTTAGTCCAGTAGACTGATGAAGGGAAGCTCATAGGCTCATCTGTGGAGGTATTTTGTAAATTCCCTTTGAGGATCAGAACTGAGAGGTTGGAGAGAATGGTTTTCTTGTGAGAGAGGTGCCTGGAGAATCGGGGATTTACCTTGTTAATTGCTTTTCCTGCAACTTTGTAGTTTGATTTCCCCCCTGTTGCTCTTGTTCTTGCTCTCTATATGTGTAAGTATGGTGTGTTCTCTTGGGCCATTGTTGTTGATGTAAAAGAGCTCTTTGGCAGGAAAAAATGAACCAAATGTGAGGGAGCTTCTTGTTTCCTTTCCACCAAGAAAAGATTTCACTTTTTTTTGTAGGACTCAAGGTGGAGTCTATGTTCACAGTGACAGACTGACAGTGACTTCTCCAGTGTTAATGTGGGTCAAGGTATGAGAGTGTGTTAACATTGGTGGCATGAATATGTTTGTCTTATGTGATTTAACTTGTCAATTCAGTATTGTTAAAATGAGTTTATAATTGCAAGCAAAAATTCAGCTTGCCGTTCAAATCAGCGTGCTTTGCTTGTTTGTTTTCTCTTTCTTTTGAGTGCAGTTCTGCCTTTTTGAAATTCAGATTTTCATGTCATGAACAAGCACAGCTGGAGTTCTGAAGGCTTTGCATTTTGATGTCTTCCTTCTCCACTGCTCATGCTAATGGATGAATGAAACTAAAAGTTTGTTTTTTTTCAGAAATGCTTTTGTACCCACTTCAGCCCAGCCGTAAATGAGCAGTTTACGGGTAGGCTGATTTTTGCCCCCCTCTCTCCTCCTCTTGTATTAGGAATACATTCCTTGTTTTCCCTCTTTCTGTTTTGTATGGATGAGCCAGTTTGGCTTTGCTTTGTTTTTACATGAGACCTTCTCTAACTCATTAACCAGTTGGTGTTTTCTCCCTGCTGGCTCTGCTGCAACTGAGCATGGAATGTGATATTACGACTGCTTGCAGACATGGGGAAAAAGATAAATGGTGCTTCACTTTAAACTCGGCATACTCCCACGCCGAGCCCAGTGCATGCCCAAAAGAGGCATTGTATTAGTTGAACCCAGGTATCCCAACATCTGTATAGATTAGGTGCTTTAGTGGGGCATTTTTGGCATTTTTATCTAATAGCTGATTGAATCAGCTATTAGATAAAAGCACCAACAAGCTCTGCTGAAGCACCCGATCTATACACATGCTGCGGAGCTTGGTTGAAGTACTGCACTGCTGCTTCCAGTATTGTTTTTGGTTTCTTTTATCTACGTCCATCAATGCCGTACAGGTCCTTCATTATCACTTTGTCCAATATTCATTTTAAAATGCAGTTACCTGGTTTTGTAGTTGAAAAGCAGGCATTCACATACCAGGGAGTGTTCCCTATGTGGGACAGATTCTGCAACCCTAGTTTATAATGAATGTTGAAGATGCCCTACTGAGTTGACTTGTGTAGTGCAGTCGTCTTAAGGGTGGTAAGATCTAGGCCACAGAGTCATTATTATGTAAAGTTAGGTTAATTTTTGCTTCTTAACTCTTTGAATGTTCTTTGTAAATCTTGTGGCAAGGGCAGAACTTACAAATTTGGGTGCCGTAAGTTGAAGCACTACAGTCTTTGAGTCAATTGCCTGAATTTCAGAGGTGCTGAGTACCAAGGCTCCCAGTAAAGCTAATGGAAGTTGAGGCTGCCTAGCATCTTGTGGGACTGGTTCCATAACTTGGAAGGAATTGCATAGGTTTCTCAAATAAATATAAGAACCAAAAAAATTTGTCATGCCTTGCCTCCATCAGCTTCAACTATGTCCCTTTTTTGATACTGGTGAAATATGATGACCAAGCAAGAGACAAGATTTAAAGATTAGTCCTTTGTGCCTCAACACGTCTGAGTTTTTTTTTTTTTTCTGCCTTCAGCTCTTTTTAATGGGCAACTACTTAATAAATTAATTTATTCAACTGCTCAAGAAATCCCCAGTCACTAACTAATTCTTCATCATCTGCTACTGATCCCTTATTAGTAATGACAGACACTTATATTTAATTCTGAGGACTGTGTGTGTGCATAATTTGGTAGCTCATTACAGTCACTCTTGATTCTTGTTTATTCTTTTAGGCTCTGGATGTGATCTTGGAAAAGATGAAGTCTTCTGGCTTTAACTTCTCTCAAGTGAAAGCTTTGTCCGGGGCTGGACAGGTTAGTTTATAAAGAGAAAAATTGGTCGTATTGTATATCTTCAACAGAGTATTAAGGAATATTGGTAGAAATAAATTAATATCTAATATAAGAGGCAACAGATAGGAATAACGATACAAGAGACTGAGGATAGAAGACAAGGTTAACAGTATAGTTATAGACTAGCTGAGTGCATAAATAGCTGGTTTCAAGTGATGGGACTGCTTTATTTATAGAACTCTCCTATGGTTTTGCAAATTTTACTTATATTTGGAGCTGGAGGAGGGGTTTTGAATGGCCATGCCATTAGGAAGATCGGATGATGGAATACAATGAATAGTGGAACAAGCTCAATCTGTTAAAGATATAGCAATTATTCCATCTAGCATAGCTCTTAATGTGTTGGGTGGTGTACAGGACAGGGGAAATGGAAACGAAATTGTGGCTGCTTTGTGTGAGAGCATAGGATCATAGGAAAGGAGGCTGGAAGAAAACTTCATAAGGTCATCTAGTCCAGACCCCTCTACTCAAGGCAGGATCAGCCCTGACTCAGCCATCCCAGCTAAGTGTTTGTCCAGCCTGCTCTTGAAAATTTTCAAGGATGGAGATTGTACAAATTCTTTAGGTAGCCTCTTCCAATGCTTGGTCACCCTTAGGGGCAGAAGGATATTTCTGATCTCCAACCTAAATTTGCTGTACTGCATTTTGAGGCCATTGCTCGTAACCCTGTCTGCTACAGCCACAGAGAAGAGCCTGTGTCCATCCTCTCTATAATAGCCCTTCAGGTATTTGAAGTCTCCCATCGGTCTTCTCTTCTCCAGATTAAATAACCCTCGTTCTTTGAGCCTTTCCACATAAGTCTTGTTTCCCAGGCCCCTACATTTTTTTTCTTTTGTTCTGCATTGGACTCTCTAATCTGCCCTCATTCTTCTTGGGGGCTCAGAACTAGATGCAGTACTCCAGGTGAGGTCTCATAGTGCTGAATAGAGCAGAAGAATCACTTCCCTTCATTTGCAAGGGAAATGGCACTCCTGTTGATACAGCCCAGTATGCTATTGTTTTTTTGCAACATGAGCACGCTGTTGGCTCATATTCAGTTTGTGGGCTACTCTGTTCTGCAAGTCCTGTTCTGCAGTACTTCTGCCTAACCAGTCATTCCCTTGTGTGCATTTGTGCATGCAGTTATTCTGTCCCAAGTATAGTACTTTGCCATTGTTGAATCTCATCTGATTCACTGTGGACCATTTTTGCTGATCTGTCCAGGTCATTCTGGACCCTCGTCCTACCTTCCAGAGTGTCTGCAACTCCACCCAACTTGGTGTCATCTGCAAGTTTGCTAAGTATGCACTCAGTTCTGCCATCCAAATCATTAATGTTTTGGATGAAGCTATAGACACAGATTCTAACATATGAGGACATATCTCCCCATGCCTTCTAATACATCTCCTGTAATTTAACCTGTTGCATAGGGTTTTCCTTTTGAGGATCTCAAGCACTTACAGGGTGAGTGTATGCCAACTGCTCCTGGGTGTGCTGATGTTTGGCACACCCCACCTACCTGCAGCCACTCCATGTGAGTGCCATGTGAGTGCCAAGAACAGAGCTGCCACTGTTCTTGGTACTGTTTTCAAGCACATTGACTCAGGTCTCAGGACAGGTTGTGGGGGATGCCCTCAGTGCAACTTTCCAGCTTCATTTCTGGGTTTGGGGAGTGGGAGCAGATGAGCCAGGTGTGCAGCTCTGAGAGAAAGCAGAGCACCCAGCAGCACTGCAGAGCCAGCATACACATGTCCTATAGATGTATATTCGTCCATTAGTTAAACCTCTGGTACCACGTGCTTGCAGTCTGAGCTCTGCACTACAGCTGGTCAGCGCTGTCCAAGAACTGGTAGTGGTTCCTGAGGAAAAATTAGGGAAGAAGTGTGTCTAGAGCACCTGGAGGGATGCTTTGAAGTACCACGTCCTAGACAACCTTTTCTAATGATGCTAATATCATGTTAATGATATGATATTGTCATATTGATATCATATGCCTGGCCACAACTGAAAGCTGCTATTCTGTAGCAAAGTTCTTGGAAAGGCACTAACTGTAGACCTAGCAATATTATAGTAATGTCCACTAGATGCTGCTATAGTTAATGGTCAGCATTTTTGCTAGATTCTTGTATTTGATTTAGAATATATATTGCTTATTTTTGAAGTGTATGTAAAGGAGTCATTTAGCTTGGATGTCTCAAAAAGGTGAACTGTTTTAACATAATTAAAAAAAAAATTTAGATGACATTCTAATCCTTCTAGTGTCTGAAACCAGATTTGAATCTGAATTTGGAAAATTGATGACTATATCTCTAATTCACATATCTGTATTCTGTATAGCAACATGGGAGTGTTTATTGGAAAGAAGGAGCCCATCATATTTTAAAGAATTTATCACCTGATCTTCCTTTACATCAGTCACTGAAGGTAATGTGGAGCTTTTGAGGGACAGTGAATGATCACACACAGTCCTTTTTCTGACACTTAACAGTCACCTTCTCTTTTGCTTGTTGCGTTAGAAGTTGCTGTAACATACACTATACAGTATTGTCCTTTAGCCACAGGGGTTTTCATGTTTCCCTTTTTTCTCCTGAATGACTGCACAAGCTTCTTTTAAAACATACAGAGCATTCTGTTGAAGTAGAGTTTGACACCAGCCTTGCCTGCCGCGAGACCAGAAAGAGTTTATAAACAGTGGAAGAGACATCTGATCTATTAAAGACTTACATCTATGTATATAGATTCCCAGATGAAAGTGTTTTATCTGTGAAGAACTCCATGAGACTAAATCAAAACAGTGTATGTGATGTCCTGAGTCTTAATTGAAGTGCTTCCAGAACACTTTGACTTTTCATTGGAGACTGCATTATTGGTAGAACCGTAGGAAGAAATAAAAGTCCAATTACCTAGATTCTGAAATCTGAACAAAAGGGCCACATGCTGGGAAAGACGCGTGCTACAGTAAAGTGGCGCTAAGGGAAGGAATCCTCAGTTTCATTATTTGATTTGTGGTCTCGTGACATGCATAGCTGGTTGGCTACTATAAGGTGTGTAGGTAGGCAACTGTTTATCCTCTGGATCATGGTGTATGCATAAGACAGTGGTTCTCAAACTTTTTTTTGCAGACCACTTGAAAATTGTTGAGGGTCTTGGTGGACCACTTAATAAACTTTTTTTTGTTCTACAAAACGGAGCCCACAACTCGTGTTGTAATATCAGTAGTCTTACCTTACAAGTACAGATAATCTCGATTGTTCCAGAACCTTTCTGTGTACCACCTGAATGGAGCTCGTGGACCAGTGGTGGTCTGCGGACCACAGTTGAGAACCTGTGGTATAAGAGGTCCCATAAGAGTCAAGTGCCTGATGAATCTGCTTGTGATAGAATTGGGGCATGATTTATGCCCCTTACAGAGTCCTGCAGCCATCACACCAAAACCTTCAATGTGTACACCTAGGCAAGAGTATGGAGGAGTGGAGGTTGCTCAGGAACTCCCTTCCCCTCTTTGACCACTGAGACCGAATGCAAAGGCCAGACCGAGTCCTGACGTTCAGTGCCTTGATAGTTGTAGCATCTGCCAGAGAGCAGTAGATAAGAATTGCTGCTGACTGCCTAACGCCTCAGTGAGAACACATTTTTTGTCAGGGTAATGTCTCTTTGCCTTTCTCTAACCGAAGAGTACCCATAAGGTTGTGGGAGCTAGGGTTTTAAGGTGCCCTATACTCGCCTTACTCTGGAAGTTGTAACATTGGGTTTTATAGGAGCAATATTGGGGTACTTTATAGCAGCTACCCCATTATAGGTACCCCCACTATGTTGCCACCGGGCTCTTCAGTTGAATACACTTTTCAGTCATACCCTACCGTATGTGTGAAGGGGTAGCAAACACAGCCAACTGCTCCACCCAGCATGCAGTTTGGCTTGGGGGTTTTATACTACTTATGGTGAAGTTGCCATTACACTGAGATCATACTAAGTGCACTTAAAAACACAGGCAACACCGTGTTAAAACTTGTTAACTCATGCTAAGTGCCTCCTGAGCATCTCAGAATTATGCCACTTAAGGTGAGGGTTAACCCTGGGCCATGCTTTGTGTTAGGGTAACTTCAGTCTGAGTAATTTTCAGTCCTCTGGCATCCCAGGATTAACTGTTCTGAGCTTTCTCCTTCCCCCTGTCTCCCACACCAGGAGAAGGGATAGAGCCCAGGAGTCTTGGCTTCTAGTCATATCCTTCCTCGCCATTTCTCTAGTGGCAAAACAGAACTGTACAAGCAAGAAACTATTAACCATGCTTACAGCATGGTCCAACTTTAACAACACTTTACATTCCACAGATTTAGTATGGTCTAAGTGTAACACATAACTTCATCCCTAGAGACTCATTAGCTGTGGGTCCATTTCCCTGCCGCTGTGATGTAATGCACAAGGCCACTGCCTAGGCCTCATCTCTAGTACAACAGCATGACATACCTATTGTATTTGGGCCTAATGAGGAAGTCTTAAGAATTTGACCCTTAATGTAAAAGTCTGCTGGGAAATGATAATCTTATTGATGACGTATATTTCTCCCCTCCCAGGCTTGTTTCTCTGTCAGTGACAGTCCAATCTGGATGGATTCCAGTACAGCTTCCCAGTGCTTCTCACTGGAGAAAGCTGTTGGAGGAGCACAGCAACTAGCTAACATCACTGGCTCACGAGCTTATGAGGTAAGAGTGGAAGTTCTTGTAGAGCTGCTGATGCTGCACGGCACGTTTTTGGAAATAATTCTGTCCACAGTCACTAACTAAGATATCCCAAAGGGTGCTGGGCTGCAAGTGTCAAAGAGAGAGTTTACTCCCCAATACTGACAGAAACAACCTGAAATAAGCAGCTTTGGAATAGCTCATCTAGGAAACAATGGGTGTCCTGATGCTTGAGAGTTTTAAAATTAGATTAGGCAAAGCCCTAGAAATTTGGAAGCACTTCTGTATTGGGAGAGAATGAATGGGTGAACTAATATTGTAAGCTACTTCTGCAGTTCTCTGGGCCAGCTCATCAGCTGGTGGAGTTCTGCTGATTTAGGCTATAGAAGCTGCTGCTGGCAAAACTACGTCAGGCAGGGTGTAACAGAGCTTGTAATTTAGGAACAGCAATACCAGCAAAAATGTGCTATTATTGATATAGCTTGTTTTCCTTGTGGGGGTTGTTTTTTATATTGTACAGTACTGGAACAAAGTGCAACTTGGCCTTTATAGCTGCATTCACATTAAGAAAGCTTTGTTGGTGTAGCCTACTGGCATTTTTTTACTATAAGAACCCCTGCTATAACTTTTCTCTCTCAGACTTCAAATGAGAAAAAAAGATGGGTTTCAAACTTAGTTATGCAAATACCTTAGTAATAAAATCTCTGCTGTAACATAGCTGTTTCTGAATACAGTTCCCTTGACTCCTTTGCATCCACAATGATTCTAGAGTCCTGCAGCATTAACATCCAGCCCTAGCTAACACCCATCTCTTCGTGCTCAAGGGAAAAGTGATTGGATGAGCATTGTGCCCTGAAATGCCAACAGACTTGGGCTGTTGTGGAACTGAGTGGGGAGAGGCAAGGTCAAAAAGTCCTGTGCCCTAACACAGACTGCCCAGTCTTCTATCTGGTTTTCTTTATAACCCTGAGTCCTCTTGTTAGGTGCCTCCCCCCACTGACAGTAAATCATGGATGAGTGGCAGTCTCCTGTAAAGTACTTTGGCTGTAAGTTGTTAGTGATTAGGTTATCAAAGGAGAGTCCTGACCATATGCCTAATTGCTTCTTTGGATTCATTATGCAGAATATATGCTTGTGTGGGCTGGAATGAGTTTGAATGAGGATACATGTTTGTTTGTTTTTTGACTGATTAAGGGAAATGGCAACTTCCAAAAAGTTCAGGATTTTAGGTTTTTCTGTTTGCATGATTTAATGCCTATATAAGAAATAATTATCCTTTAACCATTAGCATAGATCTAGTTAGCTGTTCTTAGTTTGAAACACCTTGCCTCTGCATTTCCAACATTTATAGAGAATTGGGTAAGTTGGGTTTTTAACCTTCGAAGGATTTGGAAGCAGTATTTGAATTGTGTTGGGTTTCTGTGTTTGTAATAAATGAGATTCATTTCACTGCATTGTCATTTCAAAATGTAAATTATGGCTAGTAATGCTTTTCCACTGCCTTTTTTTCAAAAGGTGAGCAAAATTCTCATAATGAGACTATGCATTACAGCCTGTTTAGTGCAGATTGCCTGCTGTGCTCTGACTTTCATCGTGCATCAGACAAATTAAATATCCAAAGTGCAATGTACTGAACTCATTACACAGAGTTAATGATTATTGACTCCATTTAGGTTTGTGTTCCTAAGCATTTGCATTTCTTTCTCAGCGTTTTACAGGAAACCAGATAGCAAAGATTTACAGCCAGAATCCTGAGGTCTACATACAAACTGAGGTTGGCTCATCTTCAATCCATTTATTGGAAATCAGGGTTAAAAAATGTTAAAGAGATTTTTAAGTAAAAATATTTAAGGACATATAAGTTTCATAATGCGACTTAGCTTATACAAGGTACTGGTTTTATAATTGTGTCTGTTTGTTTCTGACCCTCGCCCAAGTCCTTAACTGTCACAGAGTTACAAGTCAGTGCACCTAGAATTATGTATTTAATATTCTGAACACTTTTGGGTCTCAACATTACAGGGGATGGACTTGATGATCTTCCGAGGTCCCCTGCAGCCCTAAAGTCTAATGTCTGTGAAGTTTCAGGCCAAAGTTTGAAAGAGGAAACTGCTCAAAATTGTGTATTTCCATTTGTTCAAATATTTGCTCTCACAAATGGGCAACGAAGCATGCTGTTGATACAGTCATACCTACAAAATAACCCTTTGGAAAGACAAATGTAGTATTTGCTCACAGAAAACTGGTGGTATGTGATTTTGACCAGAAAGAAAATGGAGTTGGGTTCAGTCTGGTTTTTTTTTTTTTTTTGACAGTTTGGTCTTTGCAGGATATTTTAATTTCTACAATTAAAAAAATGTATTCTTCAAATGAAAGTTTCCTTTTATTTATTTTTAATTTCAGAAGTTAGCAAACAGCTCTATTATTGTTTTAACTGATTTAGGCTGCGGTGTTCTGCTTCTAGCAGTGATTTTATGCTGCAAAGCGAGTGGAAAAACTGTCCTGGGATGTATATGAAGGAAAGATGACCCTTGCAGGTGCTTAGCTTACACCCTGAAGCATGAGATCGATCTATTCCTATTTTAATAGTTGATACTACTGGTCATAAATTTCCTTCCCAGTACTGACCTCTTATAGCAAGATGTTCCACAACTTCGCTGTGTGCTTTGTAAAGAAATATTTCTTTTCATTTTGTTCTCCCTATGTTGTCTGAATGCTGTTGTGTAACCTTGTTCTAACGTATGGAATGGATAGAAGGCAGGCTAATAGAGTTGGTCATAAACCTAAGACCAGATTCAGAGAGGTGAATGTAAACCTGACAGTCTTTGGATCTGAGAACAAATGGTGAGGACTGGCTGGCATCTGTAGCAGACTCAGATGTGCGGAAAGGGTGGAGGAGATGCCTTATTGTAACTGTAGTTCCTAGGAGGAATGGTCTCAGCAAGAATTCCTCTAGAGTACCTTCAGGCAGCGTCTACTAGCATGTCAGCTTCACTATTCTGTAGAAGGTGCCTCATTTTCTTCTGCTGTGTTATCCTGCTTTGGAGACATGACCTCACTTTTAACCTAAGCCACCTCTTTCCATTACAGGCAGTCAAGGCACTGGGAAAGACAGATTTGTGTTCCCCAGCTACAGTGTAACGGTGGGGCATGTGAATGGCAAGAGGGCCCCTTAACCTTCCCTTTTTTAGGTCCATCTCCAAGGACTCTGTCTCTCCGAGAGAGTAGCAGGTAGTAATGCAGTGACTAATACGGTTGCAATTAACTGGGTGGACGAGGTTGCCTGGTTTAGGAGGAAGTTCAGAGACTTGTGAGTGGGACGAGATGCAGCAAGGTTCTGCCGAGAGGAGGGAGCAGAAGGAAGATCTGTGCCTCTATTTTTGGTTCACTGACGGATGATATTTGATGGATTTTTCTGTGGCTTTTTGCACACGTTTTTGTTTTTACTGAATTATGTCCCTTGAATACAGTGTAGCCACGCAGTAATACATGTAGAGGCAGAATTTGCTAATGTACTGCATATATATATTTTTTTTGTTTCACAACTCAAAGCTATTAACAGCTTTTAGAAAGATGTTTGTTTTCAGCCTGTCTTCTGCATTCCCTGGCTTTGCAGGTACTTTTTTGCTGCCTGGCTGCATTCAGTACTTAGCTTCTGTTTGTTTTTGTTGTCTCCATTTACTTAGTTGCATGCATTGCAGTGAAGTTTGTTGGCAATCACTATTGCATTTGATTTTTTTTTTTTTCTTCAGAGAATCGCTTTGGTTAGCAGCTTTGCGGCCTCCCTCTTTCTAGGTGATTATGCACCCATTGATTATAGTGATGGTAAGTGCCTTGTCTTTTTTTGGGGAGTTCTTTTATTATCACCATGAGTTTGAGATGGGGTAGATGCTCTCCACCTGTTAACTCTAAGTCTGAGAACTTAGCGGGCGAATGTACTTGTGCTTGGGAGTTGGAGCTGTCTAGCACCATTTTTAGGTTCCTTCTAGAAGCGCTATCAGTCCCGACTTTTTTTTGTCTGCTACATTGTCACTCCCACTTTCCTCAAGGGGTCCTGCTGCATCATGATATGTGAAGTTTGAAGTTTCTGTGTCAAAAGGTGATATTCGTGCATGTCTTCTCTAGTTTTGGGTTTCTGAAGCTGGTTATTATTATGAGTTTTTAGCTTGGCTAAAAGGAAGGTTTGCAAAAGAAACCATCTTTCTTCAAAGTAACCAAAAAATAAGCAACAGCAAAAGTTTAAGAACCTTTCAAGGCTTCTTTTTATGCACATTATAAGACAAAAATGTGGCCAGACCAGTTTCCAGGTTACCTTAAGTGTCCAGCTTTAAAATAATGATTACCAAGGAAACCTCTCTTCTACTACCTTTCCTGCTGTTTCTAAATATCATGCAATTCCCCTGGCAGAAATGGAAAATATCTGTTTTGGAGCGGTGTAGTTAGATACCATAGAGATGTTGCACAGAAGGTTGATAGAACCAGAATTGCCCCCTGCACATGAAGATTAGCTCACTCTTATTGCATTTCTGGTGAAAAGGCAGGGGTGGGGGGAAGCAAGGTATCTTGACTTTATCTAAGGCAAAAGTAGTTCACTATCATATCCCCCCCATCTACTTAAGACCCTAAGCATGGACAGCTCTTTTTGTTTTGCAGCAACTGGGAGATGCTTAGATCTATTTTCTGGTTCAATATAAATATTTTATTAGAGCCAACTTTTAATTTTTCAAGATATGGACAGATGAATAAATGATAAATTTATCATGGCATTAAAAAAGGTGGTGGGGGATGCCTTATGGTACATCAACTGCTCTTTGAAAACTGGCTCATATCTATGTTTCTAACCTGTGGTAAGTAAAAACGAAATTTGGTTAGTAACTCAATCCTGTGTCAGCTAACACATGGGAACTTCCCTCCCTCCCATTAATTCAGTACCCTCAGTGTCTTACTCATAGTCCCACTCTTCTGTAAACATGAAACAAAACCCAACAGCAATAAAAACCTTTGGAGTTTATGCCACTGTCCTCAATAGATGGTCTTGAAAGTTTCTGAACACCCATCACTCCCATTCTCTTTGACGTATGTGGAAAATCGGTTGAAGTCGAGGACTCAGCTATTTGCAGAATCCCACACCAGGCTCAAAGCCCATGTACTAAACTTAGATTGGGGATGATCAGAAAAAATAATGTTTACAAAAATAACTTTAATTTAAAATGGTTTTTAAAGTTTTGGTAGAAATTTTAAATTTCTAATTAAAAGCTCTCTCTCTAATATTAACAAAACCCTGATTTCTCCCCTTTCCTGCTTCCTTTTCTCCTTCCACTGGGAAGACAGAAGAACAACAGTTTTTTTTTCTGTTTTTGAAAGTGAAAGATTTGGCTTTTGTTTAGGTGAAAAACACATTTTTATTTTTCATTTTATTCAAAAATTTGCAGTTTAGGTCTTTTGAAACTTTTCACAGACAATATGTAGTATTTTTGAATTGGCTCTAACTTATGCCTGGAAGACCCTTCTTTTGTGGCACTCCTGTGGATAGTTAAATAGCTAAAGTAAATATATAAGATAAAGCAAAGATGTAAGGTTATTAAATCTTTGTGTGAAAAAGATAAAAGAGAATTAAGTAAGACATTAGTGTGCTGCTCTTTACTAGACAAAAGAGCCTGTATTATAGTAATTTATATTTTGTCTTCCGCTGTTTTTCTTTTTTAACATAATGGGAGAAAATTGCAATTCCAGTAATAAAAATAATTGTAATTATGCAATAGTTACATTGATGCTTGTACAACAAAAATGTATTATTTTCTTGTCACTTACAATTCCCTGCAGTTCATCCACTCTGTTTCCATTCCCCTTGTGTACTGCATTTGGAAATGCATCTCAAAATACTGTTCAGATAATAGACCTATTCTTCATTTCTGTAGGTTTAACTTCAGGTCACGCAAACTTTAAAGGCCCCTGTTGAATTCTTTAGTCTTTCACTATAACTTATCTCTTTAAAGGGGTAGATTAAAGTAAGTAATGTGCTATTCCATTTAGGATTTTCTTTAAGAGCCAATCTCAAAAGGTACAAAATGTTTCTTGTTAGCAGTTGAGCACCTTTGCTGACTGACTTTAAAAAAACCAAAAAAGCCCCCGGCATTCTGGTGCAGTAAAAAAATGATTTTTATATCTGTTATGTAGATATTAAATGTAAGGTATGTATGGTATCTGCAGGACCTGAGTGTATCATGTAAGGCATTGTCCCTTTATAAGACACCTTAAAGAACAACTGTTCAGCTCTCAACCTGGAGAGGCTTTTATCTTGAGAAATGTTTTCTATTTAAAGGCCCTTAGGAGAATCATAGCTAGTTGTACCTGTTTTGGTTCCTCTGCCAAAGGAAGCCCTTTTGAAAAAGAAACATATTGGGCTAAATTCGCCCCATTGTAGCTTGACTGATGTCAAGATAGCTGAAGGGGATATTTATTTGGCCCACTGAGAAGTGAACCAGAGACCATTTGCACAGATGTTATATAGAGGTTCTCAGCTATTGATCATTAGACACTTTTTTCCATTTTCATCAATTAATAAAACTAGTTGGGTTATGTCTTTTGACCCTTTTATAATGGATTTGAGGCTCTCTTTTAGCCTTCAAAGCTGTAATGCTTTTTGTACAGGTAGTTTTAGCAGATCCTGAATGCACTTCTGGCCATCTTGAATGAAGAGGCAGTGGTGCTTGCAAAAATATGTTGAATCCCTTCTGTCCACATAGGGTGCTGACAGATGTGAAAAAACAAAACAGCGCTTTACTGGAAGAGGGAAGCGTGTTAGTTTGATCCCACTCCCCAGAATCTGTATAGATCAGGCGCTTCAGCGGGGCTTTTCGGCACTTTTAGATAAAGCCGATTCAATTAGCTATTAGATAAAAAAAAAAAAAAAAAAGCAAAAAGCGCCGCTGATGTATCCTGATCTATACACATGTTGGGTGAGCCAGGTCAAACTAATGCTGTGCTTCTTTTGGGCATGCGCTGTGCTTGGTGTTGGATAGCTTGACTCTTACTACTTTTTGAATAATTTAATTTCACTTTTAGGCCCTTGGTGTTGAATTTTGGTAAGCTAGTTGGGCGAGAGGCCTCTTTCTCAACCCCCCACAACACAACACAACACAACACAACACAACACAACACAACTCCCTGGTCTTTGGCTGGAAGTGTCTGCAGCAAGTTATAGCAATACAACAACACAACACAACACAACACAACACAACACAACACAACACAACACAACACAACACAACACAACACAACACAACACAACACAACACAACACAACACAACACAACACAACACAACACAACACAACACAACACAACACAACTCCCTGGTCTTTGGCTGGAAGTGTCTGCAGCAAGTTATAGCAATACATGGTCTTTGTTCTTGGGTGCATCTACACAAGACATTTACTGCAGAGCTGATTAATTAGCAGATCCTAACTTAATTTAGGATCTGTGACCCTATTAGGCTGCAGTAAACTAATAAACACCACTGTAGGATTGTACTTGTAAACACGGGTACTATCCCACAGCGACATTATTTAGTGTGCTGCAATACACATGTAGATGCTGACAGGGCTGGCTGGAGCATAAGGGTGCTTCAGTTTGGGGGCTGTCTGCTAGCTAGGCCTGCACTGGGGCACCCTCATGCCCCGGCCAACCCCTCCACAGCATATTGAGCTGGGTTGGAGCAGCCCCGGGCTGGCAGGCTGACCCCCCAGGCCTCTTGCCAGCTGGGGCTGTGCTGACCCAACTCAAAGTGCTGCAGTCCCGCGTGCACGTTCAAGTGGCTTGTCGGAGATGTGAAGAGTTGTCTTTGTATCTAATTAAATCTGATTCTTTACTGTTTTTCTTGGTGGTGGGTGGGGTTGACTGGAAAAGAGAAATGCACGTAGTGTCCGTGGAAAGCATGCTGTGCTGTGCTTTTTAAAATTCCTGTTGCTGCATCATAAGCAAAATTAACCAGCGTATAATTTATTAAGTGCATGTAATTTGCATGAAATGAAATTGATTGAATTTAATAAATTTAATTTCATTTTATACATCGTTAACTTAAGCAAAGTATAATCTAAATTTCCTACTATGTGATCTGAGTTACTTCAGTATCTCAGCTGTGTATGATGCACTTGGTTTTTGAAGTATTAAGCCCTGAATGATCTGGCTTAGAACTGGGCTGCACAGTGTTTGGGATAAAGTGTGTGTGTGTGTGTGTGTGTGTGTATGTGTGTGTTGAGAATGGGGCCTGTACTGGGATAGGGTGTCTGCTCTTGGGGAGTAATGTGAACAGAGGCTTTTCAACAGTTTGAAACAGGCTGGAGAAGAGGGCTATTATGGATTAACACTGGGAGTGGCAGCTGGCTCAGTGCTTGTGTAGCCATTGGTCTCAAACACGCATTTAGAAGATGGAGAGGGACTCCTCTGTTGTCCAGATTAGGGGCTGAGTTGCAGTTTCATTGGTCACCAATTGGTTGAGGATTGGAGTATAACACCTCCCACCCTCGCCCCACAGATCTCCATGCTCCTTCATTGTGTGCAGGTAACTGTACGGTTTCCCAGTGCTTCAAGCTAAAACCATGCTGTTTCAGTTTAAAAAAAAAAAAAGGGTCATGTTCATTTTTCCTCCTTTCTTTTCTGTTCTTTGTTTTGTCAATTAATATGGGAGAATCTTGATTGAATGTTGTCTGTTCTGTTTTCATTAGACTGATCTCATGTTTCAAGACCTACATTTTGGTTTCAATGCTGTTGTCTAACTAGGTTCTGGGATGAATTTACTGCAAATTTGTGATAAAAGATGGTCCGCGACCTGCCTCAATGCTTGTGCACCTGGGCTGGAAGAGAAACTGGGACACACTGTACCATCCAGCTCAGTATTGGTATGTGCCAGTGCAAAACAACTTCTCCCGTATAAGGTGTTGAAAGATTCTGGACTAAAGGACAAAGATCGTTGTAACTTCTTTGGCAGGTGCCCTAGTAATAGAAGCTTCCTACAACACTTACACACATTTGTTTGACGGGAGAAGAATGTACAGTGTTTATACTATTCCCTTTGTCCTAAATCAATAGCACTGCAAAAATAGAGAATGACATTCAAATTTTTTAGCTGTGATGTTATGTGGTTGTCTTAAACTGGTTCTGGTCTGATGGGTTAACCCCAGTGAACTGTAAGAGGTATTTAAAGCCCCAGAGTTCACCTAGTATATTTTTATTGGTCATATTGTCAAGTCAGACCAGGCTGAATATTTGCATAAATTGATTGACTTGGTCTGAGCCGCTGCCATGGGAAGAACTTTTAGCGCGGGCAGTGTGTGCGAATGGGAGTTGTCACCCAGCCATCGTAACACCAGCACTGCTTGCTACTAATACAGTTGACCCATCTGCTAATGGGCTGTGGTTTTAGTCTGGAGTGCTAATCTCTTGCTATCAGCAGTGAAAACAGGGAGGAAAATTTGTAACAATAACTAAAAGTGTCTTCTTATTTTAAGGATAGTCTCCTTTCAGTTACTGGTGAGTGAGACTTAAAGGAATAGGATTCTTGACCTAAAATAAGAAGTGCTACAAAGCATTTGATGTAGAGAAGTATGCTAGCTGTATGCCTGTGCTTATTTGCATATACACCTGTCCAAATGTACCTATAAATGTAAATAGAAATATTTGAATCTGTGCGCATAGGTGTACACTCATGTTTCTTGCTCTAAATAAAGGAAGACAAAACTAAAATGTTAAAATGCTGTTATTGTCTTGCCTATTTTAGAATTGATGTAAGGAATTTTTCTTGGAAGATTTTTTTGTGCATGTCCTACGAAGATTTCAGTTAAAAATCTCTAAAGGCTCTCAGTGTAAATTGTAGCTACTGTAGACTCAGCTGGATGTCTGTCTGTGCTTCAACATTGCATAGTTACTGTGCACTTTTCAGCTTTCCTTTTTTGTATTTATTTTGTCTTTAGGGTTCCATTGCTCCGTATTATATTCAGCGCTATGGGTTTAGTCCAGACTGCAAAGTAGTAGCATTTACTGGTGACAATCCAGGTGAGAGAGTAAACATGTACGATAATAGGATTTTGTGGGATTGTATACTCGTATCCAGTGACTCCATCTCATCAGTTCTAATGGATAGGAACTTTTTCCCAACAGCCTTCTATTGCTGGTTCTTCCAGGATAAGCACACTTTGTGTGATATCTACTGCAGATAGACTCGTTAATGGCACTCACTATCACAGTGCACTTCATTTGCACCTTAATCAATTTAGTTGGGTTTATTGACGCTTCAAAAATTTTTCTTGCCAGCAAATAGTTCCATGTTCCCTTAAGCAGATTTGTTTTTTAAAGTGTTTGGTTTTCCTCTTCCTAGTCATAAAGTGGAGACAGGGGTTAGATCAGAGACTGGCAATTATCTGGGCTCACAGGCCCCGTAGGCAGTTTTGGGGAGCTGTCACGGACTGGTCAGAAACTGCCCCTGCTCCCTGGACCTGCTCACACACCGTGCTACAGCACCCCATCCTGCAACAGCCCAGAGCCTGTGCACCCTGTGGCTGTTCCTGGGCACCAGTGCCCAGCAGCAGCTGAGTGCACAGCTCCAGCCTGCCCCGCACCCACTCTGGACTCACCTTGGCTGGAGCAGACCAGTTCTGGACCAGGCAGGATCTATGCGCACAGCCTTGACCCTGGCACACCCTGCACCTGCTCCAGAGCCACCCACTTATGATGAGTAGTGGCACCAGCCAGGCAGAAGCTGCTGCTGGGCACAGGGGTAAAGTGGCCACCTCCCCCTCACTGCCGCCAAACCCTTCTCGCTGTGGCCTCCCAGAGCCTGCGCCTGGGCTACCCTGTTGCTCCTTTCCATTGCCACCACTGCCCTCCTGGGCAGCCGAGAGGCAGCTCTGGTGGCAGTGGTGATGGTGGTGGAGAACAGGTGTAGGTCAGCCCGGGTGTGGGCTTTGGGCAGCCACAGCAGGAAGGGCCCAGCAGTGGTGAAGGGGAAGTGGCTGCTTTTCCCCTCTGCCCAGCAGCAACTCGGGGGTCAGGCTAGAAGATCTATTAGGTCCCTTCCGACCCTAAAACTATGAAACTTCTGCCTGGCTGCTGCTGCTCCAGTCATTGTGGGTGGGTGGTTCAGAGCAGGTGCATGGCGGGCTGGGGTTGGGGCTGTGTGTGCAGATCTTGGCTGGTCTTCTCTGCCTGGGTATGAGTCCAGAGTGGGTGCGGGCCAGGGCTGGGGCCGAGGCTGTGCATGCAGGTCCCCACCAGGAGCTGGGGCTGGCAGTGGCGGCAGCTGGAAGGAGCTGCCACTGCCTGGGCTGCCTAGAAGTGGAGTCCAGCCGTGGAGCTGCCTGAGCCCTGCTGTATGCCCAGGGGCAGCAGGACACCATGTACTGGATGGCCCCTGCGCCAAGTGGGACCAAGGGACCTGCTGTGGGCTGGACAAAGTCCCTCTGTGGGCCACATCTGGTCCGTGGGTTGAATTTGCCCACCCTGGATTAGAGACTCATTCTGAGTACTCTTTCTTTCTGTCATGTTTCTGGTCTACATATAAAAGGGGAAAAAAACCCCAGTTCTACTAAACTATCTAAATGAATATAAACCAACTCCCAAGTCTTTAAAATAAATCACCTTTTAAAATGTAAAGGTTGTACAAGTATAGAAATCCTATAGAAAATGAGGTGGAGAATCTTATAGTATTTGTTCAAAATATTATGGCAGTCCCTAATGGCATGACAGTGGCTTGACAGTTATTTGGGTAGAGTAGATAGCATAGTTTTAGAAAATAATAATACATTGGCAGAAAGCAAAGCCTACTAAAAAATATGTTGCAAGCAGTCAGTACTTTGGTTCATGCCTCAAAATCCTAGAAAGATAATTTTTTTCACTGATCTTGTGAGTTCAGAGGTGTATTGGTATCTTTTACTGAAATTCCGATTAAGGTAAGATTGCAAGGATTTCAGATTCCTAGCTGTGTCATATATAATAAATTTGGGACATTTGTGTGAATCTTGAAAGCTGTTGCAGTCTGTAGTACAAAAGCCCTATTTTTCAAAAAATTATCTATCACAGTAGCACAGGGTGTGGCTCACAGAGCCAGGATTTCCCCTTACCTCCTTAGTTCTAGTTGCATGTATTAGCTACAAAGCCATCCTTCCTCTCTGAAGTTTAAATCCAGGAAAGCACCTGAGCATGTTGGAATCTTCACCTGTTTAAATACTTAGGTTTGGGCCTAAGATGCATTTAAAACTTGAGTGGATAAAACACCAGAAATAATACCATAGAGAGCAGTGCTGCACTGGACTAAAGGTACCATGACACACTTTTCATCTCTAAGTCCTTTCATTCTCTGATTCCAAATAGAAACTATCTTCAGTATTTTAGCAAAAGCTAGCACAAGCACATAAAGTTTTATTTTAGCTGGTGCATAAGCCCCTTTTGTGCAGTTTTTCTGCACAGAACAGTGTGACCTCTAGGGCAGTATTATTACCTTGCATGCTTAACTACCAGTTGAACATTATTATTTATGTTTTCAGCGTCACTGGCAGGAATGAGGCTTGAAGAAGGGGACATTGCAGTAAGTTAAAATGTGTTCATGATAGCTGTCCAGATCCTGAGTAATTCAAGCCATTGTAGAATATAAAGTACAAACTTGGAAGATAACCATGGGTCTTCAACTAAACCAAAATAGAGAAGCTGTTGATTTTCTGTGTGCTGGACTCTGATTCTCATTTCAGTCCTTCTTGGAGCTGGAAGAAGGATGATAAGCAAACTCTGGGAATGTTTATGAATCCCTAATTCTCTTGCTAGTTCTGGACTATATTTCACTGGGGTGACAACCAAACCAGAGTTTACTGCAATAAGAATCCAATTGACTTAATGTGTGATTTAAAAACAATTAGCAATAAGAACAAATGGATTTCATTTAATTTCTATATTGCCTTCCGTGCACATTGTGATAACACTTCAATTATTTTCTTCCCCAGGTTAGCCTTGGTACAAGTGACACTCTGTTTCTGTGGATTCAAGAACCAATGCCTGCAACAGAAGGTCACATTCTCTGTAATCCTGTTGACTCTCGAGCCTATATGGCCCTTTTATGGTAGTATAGTTTTTTATTATTATCTGGGATCAATAAGATGTTTTTCTTGTTCTGCCATTATGTTTTATTTCCTTCACAAAATGATGCAGAATTCAGCATATGTGCAGTATAAGATACCCCCTAGAACACAGAAAGTTCTTCCTTTGCATCTAATCTACAGTTAAAACGTATCAGTGTTATAACATTGCCATTACTTAGGGAACCAGGAATTTATTGTGACAAATACATTCTGATGCCAACAAATGGGATAAGGTTCATTTTTGTGTAAGCTGAGATGCCTGATTTAGCAGTCTTGAGAGTAGAAGCAGAAATATTGTGAAAAGTAAAATTTCAGAGCTAGAAGCTTGACCCAAATGTTATAACCTTTGCATTTTTCTAGTGGTACCAAAGGGCCTTTAAACAGACCTCAAAAGGGCAGATGACAATGCCTCCTTCATAGAGACGAGCCACTGCTGCTATTCTAGGACATACTGGGAATATCCTTGAAACATATTGATGTCCCATGGTATCCAGACACCTATGGCTGCTCTGCTTTGCCTCAGATTATGGTTTTGCCCCAGGTTAGCCCTAGGATTCAAGTAGGTAGAAAGATTGGCTCAGATTGACCTTTGCATCTTTCTTTTCCCTGTAAGTATGGCAGAGATGGCTCGCTCAGAGAACCAAAGCTCCTGGTGAATGTTTTTTTTCCCCCAAATGTATACTTCATACATATCTTATATACCTATTCATGTAGTACATGCCACTTATTATTTCTTACCACGGCGGTAGCATTTCCTTTCTTTTAAAGCTAACAGAATGCACAGTATAAAATAATGATATTTTAAACATTTCTTCCTTCTCTGTCCCTTTCCCCTCCAGCTAGTTTCTTCCACAGTTGATGCCTGAAAGACCTACACAAACATAAAATCTGACTATTTGTGATCAGGGAGGGGGATGCTAAGATGATGCTATTACACCCCCTTCATGCACCTCAGCTTAATTTGTTGCTGAAGGCCAGATTTCTGTTTCTTTGAAAGCACTACATAGAGTTAAACCTCAAGGCTGTTTGTGAAACCTTGATAAGTAGGTGTTATTAATTCCCACTGGGCTTCCAGAGAAAAAGTACTATATTATTACTTAACAAGGAGCTATACCATCACTTAACAAGGAGATAATGCACATTGCAAACACTATAGATATTTGTTTTTAAAATAAATACTCTTTAAAATAGCATGTGGAAGTTTCACAGCAAAGCTTTTACTTTGCATATCTACTGGTGTTCCTTGGACTATCTCTGTTTTGTGTGTGTCATGTCATCTGGACTCCCTTTCATCTTTCAGGCACTGACCACAGTTTTTGTCCAAACACTTCAGAACCGTGTCAGCAGGCAGGCAGCAGACATTTTGAGGTCCTCTCTAGGTAGCAGGTATTTGATCCTTAGTTGCTTGTGAAACAGCAATCTGTAACTTTTAAACACTGTGGTATAGGACCTGGACCTCATAGGAGATCTTTCTTCATTCTGAGTTGATCACCCTCTAAGCCAGCGGTTCTGAGCCTTTTTTCAGTCAACCTACCCCTTGGTCTCAGTGAGACTTCACGTACCCCCTTTCAGTGGGAAATTTAATTTTTATGTCAAACGATGTGTAAATCGTGTATTATAAAAATGGCAAGATACTCGTACAAAGACTTTTCAAATTGTCAAGACGTTTTCTTAGGCCCTTCAACCTGTGTTAGACAATGTATGAAATATATCTCCTGTACCCCCTGATGAGGCTTCACGTACCCCCTGGGGGTACATGTACCCCCGGTTCAGAACCGCTGCTTTAAGCCCATAGCAGTCATTTTCAATTAGGGTGCCTTGAGATCCTTTCAGGGGTGCTGCATAGGGGTGTCACGCAATGTTAGCTTTAGGTGTGCACACATGATTCATAAGACAAACTCAGATTTCAAAGAGGAGTTGAAAGTATTAAACACATTCTGCCTTGTGGTCTTTCTGAGTTCCTTGCAACAGAAGAATTTCTCTATTATTTTTCTGTAGTCCAGAATCAAGTGAAAGCAATGAGTTGATGTTTCCTGAAGGGTGCCCTGAGTCTAAAAAGGTTGAAAACCGGTGGCCTGTAGGGCTGTTTAACTCGGACGCTTATTACTCCTCCTGTCATGTGCTCTGAGTGTCAACTCTTGGGTGACAGGATATGACTTTGTCAAAGCTCATGTTTGGATTTTAAAAACCCTTATAACTCCCCCTGCATGAGTGTAGACACAGAGTACTCCAGCCAGAGTCGGTTTTGCCCCTTCTCAGCTTTTCTTCCTTTTTTTGGGCCAAACAAGTGAAGTACTGCACTTAAAAGCACATGGGTTACATATATAGTGGAAACAGCTAAACTGATTATATAAAGAGCACACATGTTAAATAAGCTAAAAAAATAAATATTTTTATCTCTAACCCTGAGTGGTGGTAATCATCACTTAATGCTACAAATAGTGGTAGTAGGTAAAATATGGTTTGGAAATTGTAGTTAGTATTTTGTTTGTTTTAGTTTTAAGAATGGCTCTCTGATGAGAGAGAGGATCAGAGATGACTGCGCTTCAGGCTCCTGGGATGAATTCTCCAAAGCTCTAACATCTACAGTTACTGGAAACAATGGAAATTTGGGTATGAATTTTGGCAAGATTGGGAACTAAGATTTGCTTTAAAATCACTATCTTGTAAACAGTAGAAGTCAAAACTTGAGTTGCATAAAAGGCCAGGAGTTAAGGAACTCAGTAACGAGCAGTTGCGGTGAATGCTCAGAAATATTCTGTGTTGATACAAGATGGCTTTAATTTTAGGGTTCCCATTCAGTAGTCGCTCAGTAGAAGCACCGTATTTTGGAAGCTATGCATCCTGGTGCATACTGTAAATAGATATTTGGGGGACATAGGACTTTGGTCTCCAGATAAAGAAGTTTAAAATACAGTAGATGAAATTTCAGACCTACACTATCTGATAGTGTGGGCCAAACTCAGTACTAATTTCGTTGTTTAGGGGCTCATGCCCAGTGCCCATTGAATCAAGCCCTAAATGGCTAGTAAAATGATGAGGAGCTGTGTCTCATTGAAGAACAGTTCAGGTATTTCTGGAAGTGGGAACAAATCGCACCAAGTCCCAGAAGTCAGGCATTGCAGAACTAGGAAAAAAAATCTTCAGGTCCAATCCTGACCCCATCAAAGTCAGTGAGAGGTCTGGTACTCAAATGAGTGAGGCCTCCATGTCACCCTTACATTTTAAGATTCTTAGTACTGTTTTTATTAAGACCTGCTATTAGGGGCTGTTTAGAAAATGTAGAAGACAGGCCCTTGTTCCAGAGCTAATCACCTGTGATCACCTGTGACGCTTCTTATTCTCAGCTCTACTTCCCGATCTTTCTGTCTTCATTTTCTTTTTTTTAGTTCCTTTCCTGCCTAAGTTTTCTGACCACTTCTTGTGTCATCACAGAGGAGCAACAGACTTTTGCCATCTGTAAAAATCTCTCTGCCTCCTACCAAAACCGCATTCACATGCCATCTCCACTCTGACCTCTTACTTCTGATGCTCTCTGAAGTCGTCAGATCTGACACCCAAAGCCTTCCAGGTTTCTTAAACTCCCTTGATTCCTGTCTCTTGTTCCTTTCTTTTTTCACTTACTGGATACACGCTAATACTGCTTCTGTGGTAAATTGTATGTACGTATATGCACGTGTATTTTGGCTGATAATTTAATTTAAATGGTAAAGCTGAGCTGCTGGATTTGTCTTCTGTTATATAGTTTGCTTTTAATGAAGTATTAAAGATGCTCCAAGCCAGGAATGCTTTTGAAAAACAGTCGTTAAAACAAAAAAAAAATGAATTCTGGAAGTGTGTGAACTGGAATTGGTCAGGAAACCTGCGATTTGTGTTTTTGTTTGTTTATGAGAAATTCTTACAAAAATGAATACGAGCAGCAAGGATTTCTTAGGGTGATATCTTTTCTTGGGCCAACTAGGTAGCTGGGATAAAGCTAGACAAGCTTGGGAATGCAAGACATTCTTTCTCCTAGTTTCATAGTTGGTAGGGTTGGAAGGGACCTGAGCAGATTGTCAAGTCCGGCCCCCTGCCATGGGCAGGAAAGACTGCTGGGGTCAAACAACCCCGGCTAGGGGATTATCCAGCCTCCTTTTGAAGACCCCCATGGTAGGAGCGAGCACCACTTCCCTTGGATGTTGATTCCAGGTCTTAGCTGCCCTGACTGTGAAGCAGTGCTTTCTGATGTCCAGCCTGAACCTACTCTCGGTCAACTTATGGCCGTTATTCCTAGTTACTCCTGGTAGTGCTCGGGGGAACAGGGTCTCTCCCGTTCCCTGCAAGTCCCCCCTGGCAAGTTTATAGATGTCAGGTCTCTGATCACAGGAAGCCAGGCACAACATAGAGAAAAAAGGAAAGGGGAGGGAGGGAGAGAAATTCTCAGGGGTAGCAGACACGCAATTAGCAGAAGAAACCAAAATGATTCCTGGGAGATCAAAGCCAATCAAAAAGGAGGAAAGTCATTCTCAGCTTTCCTGTTTGGAATGAATTCAGGAGTTGGATAAAATATAATGTGCCATAAACACAATATCCGTGTTTACTGTTTGGTTCATATAGCACTTTTAAACATGCTCCAGGAGTGGAAGGGGTGAGGCTTTAATTAGAGAGGCTCCAAGAGCCACTCTAATTAAAGCACCGCAGCTTCTTGTGTATCAGCGTACCTGTGCTTAAACATGGTGGTGGGGGCACTTGAGCTAAAGGCTCCAACTAGCGTTAATTCAAGTGCCCCTGCCACCATTTTTAAGTGCAGGGATGTGGATACACGAGGTGCTGGAGTGCTGTAATTACCACACTGCAACAGACTCAATTAATCCAATAAAAATCCAATGAATCCAGTCTCTTCCGATGTGCTGTAATTACAGAGCATTGGAGCAGCCTCCCCGCTCATGTACAGGCACCCTTAGTATCCAGCCATCTTATGAATTTTTGTTCCCAAGCTTGCTTTCTAAATTTGTTAGGTAGATTTCCTTTTGAGCACAAGGATAGTAAGGTCAGAGAAGGAGTGAGAAATGTGCTCCACTGCTTTATGAATGAAGTGCTTCCCTTGCATTGGTGAGTGCCCTAAAGTTATGAGCATTGCATTTTTGTAGTCATTTGCTGAAATAAGATACTTTTATTTGTCCTTGTTTTCTTTTGCACAAGGAGAAAACATGATAAGAGTTTTAATTTGTGTTGATTTAGGTTTCTATTTTGATGTGATGGAGATTACACCTGAAGCTGTTGGGATCCACAGATTCAACAAAGACAACAACAAGGTAGTGACAAGCTATTTAATATTTCATAGTAAGCTACTTTGGCATTCATGGCTTATGGGAGTCTCTTGCACCTGGGATTCTTGCTTTTGGGTCACATTTCTTGATACAAATCTTCGGAGTGATTATGCTGAAAGATTTTTCTAATCCGTGCTTCAGTTGTGGGAGGTGAGCTTTCAGTATAGACTAAACTTGGAGATGGTTGAGAATTTGCTGCAAACTGCTTTTTTGATGAAAAATGTGGATTTGTTGATACCCAAACTGTTCATAAAACAGAGTAAGTTTGGACAAAACTCCCAACTGAATTTTTTAATAAAAATTAATTTAGAAATGACCCAAATGAACACTTCATGATATTTGAACCAAAAAGTTTCATATTTTTAGGCCAGTGTTTTAGTCTCAACACTTTAATAAATCTAGACAAAAAATAAAGACATAATTTTGATGACACCTTCCAGAGTTACTGAACAAAATGTTTCAGTTGAGCTGAACAGAATTTTTTTCCAGATAAAAAAAAAAATAATAATCAAGATTTAGTTTTTTCACTCCAGTATGGGATGGGAGCATTTTTTGATCTCTCTCAAATTTTCCTGAGACTGGGGGAAGAAAACATTTCCTATTCAGTTTTGCTAAACCATTCTAGCTAGTTATAAGACGGTCAACACCTCTTTACCCTGTCCTCCTGACTTTGAGAGTTGTGAAGAAGTGCAAACTACCAAGAGGTAGATTAACAGTTGTTGTTGCCATATCTAATTATAAAAGTCTGTGTTTTTTTACTCTGACATCTATTTCTGTGGGCACAAACAAACCCATCATCAATTTATAGGACGTATACGTGTACGTTATGGTAGCATAAGATTGATGTTGTAGCCACGTTGGCCCAGGATTTATGCCAGAGGCAAGGATGTCTTAGGGTGAGCTCTTTTATTGAACCAACTATTTAGCTGGGTAATTAGACGAGCTTTTGAATGCAAGACATTTTTCCTTGGGTCTCACATGTTTAAGTCGCCAGATTAAGTACGTTCCTGGGTATAGCTATCGGAGGGATATGAATGAATCACAAATAATTGCCAGGTTTGGATAGGTTGCACTTTTGCTTGAAAAATTGATTTTTCTCTTAGGCCTACAGAGTAAAGAATGTGTTCTGCCTTCTTGTGTCTGTGTGGGTCAGGGGTATTGAATATATGGTCCACAGGCTGGTTTCAGCCAGTGGAGCTGCTACCTCTAGCTGCTAGGTTACTAGTAGGCCAGGGAGTTTGGGGGTTTAGCTAGTGGTGGGTGTGATCCTAGTGGACGTAATTGTTGGCAGCAGATGGAGAGTGAGGGCTATGCTGACAGAGCCCCACATGTCCTATGGCTGCTTGGCCCACTGGCTCTTGTGTTGGCCATTGCCAGTACAGTGCTTGCCACAGATCCAGCCTGTAATGAGGCCTGTGGTCCAGATCTGGCCTGGGGCACAAGGTGAATTTGATAAAGCTGCTGTAGGTGATCAGAAAGCAGTGGGTGGGTTGTCATGAAACAGAAGATCAAATCAAATTGGAGCGACAGTTCCTTGGACAAATGACAATTTAATGGAAAGAAACATCTGCATATCCTTTTCCTCTCTCTTGGGCAGTGAGTGTTGTTTCATAGACTGGATTATTAGGTTAATCAGGAAAGGTGGTACTGAAACTCAAGGGATATGCATGAGCCTTAGTCAACTGATAATTCTGAGAGGTGGTTAAAGAGAGCTTGATACTGTCCCGTATTTATAACCTCACCAGTAGTCTCAAATACTTTTTGATTAGCGGCTGCATAGTCAATTCTTAATGTTGTCCAAATGGTAGGCAATGAAAAATGTAGTCTCAAGATTAAAGATTCTCCCCCTACCCCTTAAACAAAAGGACAAATTTAAGCCCTTTTTCTTTGTTGGCATTGCCTAGTGCGTCTGAATTATTTCTAAACAATCCCAAAGGGAGATAACATTCCTGAGGTGAGTTTCATAAGTCGCCTTTGGGGCTGAGGAATAAATACAGAATTTACAACTGGTATTAGAAAGATTCCCCATCGTGCATTGATTTTTGGGCTTGAAGGATTTGCCAACAATGCCAAGGTTATAGGCTGTATGCTTTCTGTCATGAGTCTCTGGGAGTTTTCTGTGTATGTGATTGAAGAATAGGGGTTGAGTTGTGAGTGCAGGCTTCAGGGTGAAGCCAAGGATAATGAACTATAAATCTGTTTTGTATTTTTTAACTCGGCTCCAACCTGGTGGTGTATACTACATAAAGTGCATGTTAATTTAATGCAGTTCTCCTTTGATACAGGTTCCAGACTTTCCAAAGGAAGTAGAGATACGAGCACTGATTGAAGGGCAGTTCATGGCTAAGAGGATTCATGCTGAAAAGCTGGGATATAAAATAAGTAAGTAGGATTATTAAAACAGCAGAACTAATTGGACCAAAACGAAGCACAAAAAGGGACATTTGGGTCACAATGCTGCTGGTGTGATTGTTACCTTTCCTGACAGATGCAGACACCAGTGTAAACTGTAATCTAGATTGTTGTGAAATGCCATAATTCACTCTGCCATATCAGCCCTGCTAAAACTAGGTCTCTTTCTGCAGGGTTCGTGGGGAAATAAAGGCTGTGGATTGTTTTTAGAAGCAGCCTTGCTATTTCAGTCTTGTTGGAATGCATTGCTAATGATTAAACTTTGAGTATGGATTTCAGCTAGCTCAAGTGGAAGGAAGACTAGCTTTATAGCTAAAGCAAGAGACTGTGACTTAGCATCATTGTGTTCAGTTCCTGGTTCTGTCATAAGATTTTCTGGGTGACCTTGGCAAAATCACAAAATCTCTGTGCCTCAGTTCCCCACCTGTGAAATAGAGGTAATGTTGAAACTTCCTTTCTCTTATTCTCTTCCTGTATTCTGTATTTAATCTATCAACTCTTTGGAGCATGAACTTTCTCTTGCTCTACATGCTTGTATAGAATATGGGTAAAGAAATGCCAAAGTTGGCTAATATTGTTATGTAAATGACAACAAAAGAGATTAGTACATTGCCAAATGGCTAATTTTATGGAAAGATAACACACTTAAAACACAATATTAGGATACTTTTCATTTTTTGCCTGTTTTCTATTCTTTCTAACCGAAGATGCTGAATCCCTCTTCACCGTTTTCAAGATGATGCCTGGTTTTACACCTTTAAAATTCATCCATCACAGTTATCCCTTGGCACTTGTGCAATTGAGAATAAACTGGCTCAGCATGGTAAATGGCCCACAGTTTTGCTTGGGAGGGCACAGTTAAAGAAAGTGTGAAAATAAATTGTTAGAAATCTATGAATGATGGCATAGAGTCCCTTTTGAAGGAGAGAATGGAGTCACAGAAAAGGCTTGTCTGCTCTTACCAGTTCTTATCACATATCTTGACCCGTGATTTAAACATCTGTGTACAATAGTTAAAAGAAAACAATGCCAGCAGTCCTTTGGTTAGTATGAATATAAATAGACTCTCTCAGTAAATGAAGGCATAAAGAAAACTTTGTCCTGCTCTTCTCAGGCCAAATGGGTCTTTGCTGTTTTCTCAAGGTTAACAGCCTTTGAGGTGTCTTGGATATGCAGGGACAGTGTGACACACAGGAAAACATCTGGCCTCTCGCTCTTACTAAGTTGACTTTACAGCCTAAGGCCCCTGGCAGATGTGTAGGTGAAGGCGCAATGGGATCTGATGCGGGATTCCCTCAGCTCCACTTTCTGCCATGCCACATGTGCATAGCAGGAGGCATGATTGTGGAATCCACCCAGAGATCCCATCATGCCTTACTGGTGGTGCACAGGATGATGTTCCTATGCTCCACTTGTCCTAGCAAGTAGCAAGCTACTGTGTCTGGGAGTCCGGTTGGCTGATGGCACATCATGTACCCACAAGACTGGGAGCCAACAGCTGATAGGCTCCCAGCTGTGGGGGTGCATCTTGTGACTGGGAGCCTAGATCATGGCTGGGAGCCCCATCAGCTGAGGTGTACCTGCGGCTGTGGCTGGGAGCCCCAGTCTGGCCACACATTCAATTAATGATGTGATAGCTACCAGCCACAGAGTTACTACTCATTGTTTATGTAATAACTTTATGACTTGTTTTATCACACCATTAATTGCATTAATGCGTGGCCAGGTAACAACCTAAAATGTGATTAACAGTTTAATCACATCTTAAGTGTGTGCCAGAGGCCTGAGTCCCCAGTGTGAGCAAGCTCAAGCTTGCTTACTAGTCTGTTGTGATTTTTAGACTTGACTCTACCCTTCCTTTGAATTTTGGGTTGCTGTCGTCCTTTTGCTGTAGAAGATGAGCTGGAATCTTGATGAGACCTCCAGTTTCTGCTCTTTAATCATCTGGGATGTTACATACTGAGCTGCTAAAAGAATCTTCTTCTGAGGAGCCCTTCAATCGCATTGAACTGGGATTGGAAAATGAAACCTGGGTCTCCCCTGGCAGCTTACCAAGTGCCAAACTATCAGGCAGGACTTCATCTGTCAACATAAAAGCCTTAAATTCTGTTTTAAAGAGATTATTAACTTATTACAGCCTCGGAGGAGAAAAACCCCTACTGAAGATACTAAAATAGCCATTTAATAGTGTATTATTGTTTGTGACAATAGTACCTGACCTGTCTGAGGAATCAGTGCTCCATCATGCTTTTGTCAATCTTGCTAGCTATAAGTGTACACAGTTGTGAGTCACGCTCTTGAACAAATTTACAGACAACATCAAACTGGGAAAGACTGTGAACACACTGGAGGATGTGAGTGCAATTCAGAAGGCTCTCAATATGTTGGAAATTTGGGGTAGAGCTAACAGGATTAAGTTCAGTGTAGACGCATGCAAGATGCTACACCTAAGGAGGAATAATAAAAAACACAGATATAAAATGGGTGATACCTTGCTGGATGGTAGCACTGTGGAGAAGTAGATCACAGACTCTATGAGGCTGCAGTGCAATGCAGCCACACAAAAAGGCAAACGCGGTTTTGGGCTGTATCAATAGAAGTATTAGGAGCAAGATACGGAGGCTGATAGAGCCTCTCCATGCACTGATTAGGCCTCATTTGGAGTACTGTGTGCAGTTCTGGGCTCCACATTTTAAAAATGATGTGGAGAAGTTAGAGAGGCTGGTAATAAAAAATATCAAGAGCTTGAAAACAAGTCATACAAGGAGAGGCTAAAGGAGCTAGGCATGTTCAGTTTAAGGAAAAGGTGATTAAGCAAGGACATAATAACAGTCTTCAGATATTTGAAGGGCTGTGTAAAGAAGAGGAAAAGCACCTTTCGTCTCTGGGTCTGAATGTGGGTACTGAAGCTTTAAGAAAAACATAACCTAACATGACACTTATGAGAAAAAAGAATTGCTAGATTTGGCAACGCTATTAAGTATGTATACATTTTGAAAAGATTGCCCCTGCTATATGCTTTGACTTCATCTTGTAGATGATGCAATTGATTATTTAAAGAAACAGTTGGAGCTTCAAATACAAAGGTTTTTTCCGTGTCCATTTCTACCTCACTCTTGAAATGACTGTAATACCTGCCTTTGCCCCTTGAACTGTATCCTTTCAAAAGCTTGGCTTTATTTAGCTTAGCAAAATAGAAGGCAAAGAAGGGATAGCTCTTTAGAAATCCATCAGAGGTTTTAACACCAGAAGGGAAGAAGAGCTATTTGGACTAAAAGATAATGTTGGCATGAGAACAAAGTGATAAAAAATGTCCAGCCTAAATTGGTTCACAGACATTTGAAGCAGGTGTCTAACATGAGAGGAGTGAGGTTCTGATAAAACTTGCGAATAGAATCAGAGAAAAGTTGGGCTGGACGGGACCTCCAGAGGTCATCTAGTCCAAGCCCCTGCCTGGGGCAGGATCATCCCTATCCAAACCATCTCATATGGACCATAATCAAAACTCTTCATAAGACTATTGTCAAACCGATGCAACATAGACCTAACACCTTAATCTGCCACAGGTAAAGCAGGGGTACCATGGCAGCTAATGTCTTGCTTCTATAAAATGTTGTCAGTATGTGCTCAAGAGGTCCCAGGCAGAGGGCCATATCCTTCACTACAGAGGAAGGTAAAAGCTCTCGCAGTCCATACCAGTCTGACCGTGGGGTAAAATTCCTTCCTGACCCCAGGTATGGCGATCGATCTGACCCCGAGTGGAGGAGCAAGACCCTCTAGCCAGGAACCTCTGGCTTTCATCCCAGCAGCAGCATTGACACACCCCCGTCAAGGTTCCCAGCCTTGGCTGTAGCCAACACCCAGTGCCTCTGGGGAGGCTTAAAAAACACCCTGACACACGTAGCAGAAAGAGGTGGCTGGGGACAACCAGCAGAGCCCAGAAACATGAGAAATACCTGTAGTAGAATATACACCTGACCAGAGCCCATCCAACCACTTCTTGAACACCTCCAGTGTTCAAGAGAGCACCTCATAGCTTCCCTAGGCAGTCTATTCTGCTGCCTCGCTGTTCTAACAGCGAAGAAGTTTTTCCAGATATCCAATCTAAACTTAGTTTGCTGCAACTTCAAGCCATTGGTCCATGTCCTTCTCTCTGCAACAAGAGAGAAAAGGTGCTTTCCCTCTTCTTTATGGCAGCCCTTCAAGTATTTGAAGACTGCTATCAAGCACCTTTTCCTTAAGCTGAACATGTCTAGCTCTTTCAGCCTCTCCTTGTACAACTTGCTTTGCAAGCCCTTGATCTTCTGTGTTGCCTGCCCCTGGGCCCTCTCTAACTTCACAGTCTGTTTAAAATGTGGAGCCCAGAATCCAGATGAGACGTAACCAGTGCCGAGTGGAGAGGCACTATTAACTCCCTTGTCTTGCACCTAATGCTTCTATTGATGCAGCCCAAAACTGCATTTGCTTTTTGAGCACCTGCATCACACTGCAGACTCGTACTGAGTCTGTCATCTACCAAGACTCCCGGACCCTTTTCCATAGTGCTGCCATCTAGCCAGGTGTCCCACATTTTATATTTGCGTTTTTGACTTATTCTTCCTGAAGTGTAGCACCTTACATTTGTCTTCACTGAACTTCATCCTGTTAGCTCTAGCCCAACTTTCCAATCTGTTGAGATCCTTCTTCTCCAGCATGTTTGCAGTCCTTCTCAGCTTTGTCATCTGCGTGAGTAGAGGGGACAAGAAATGCAACTGGTTTTTAAGTGGGAGCTGGGTAAATTTTATGAGTGGAATGGTGACATGGTTGCGTGTGACCCAGTAGATCCCCGTGTTCCTGTAGAGTCCCTAGAACATTTTAATGTTTTGTTTTTCTGCATCAGAGGAATTGTTTGGCTTGGCAGTAACTAATGGGTAAATTACTTCCAGAAAGAATTGTGCCTGCTCTGAGCATTATGCACATTTGCCTTCATG